AACCCTGATTGTAAACAAGCTATTTCTAAAGTGAATCCCGTATTTATATGAGGGATGTGGAATATGTCACTCCTGAAACTTTGCTGCATGCAAGTTACAGGGTATGTGGCTGTTGGTCCTGTTAGCAGCACGTAAAACAACTTTTATTTAAATTCTGAATCGATTATAGCCTGGAAAGCGAGCAAATAGCGCTTTCATATAACGCTAATCACTAAAAAGCTGTCACTCACTTCAATTTATCGCAATCTCACGATTCCATGATATGAAGTTCTCAGAACTGCAAATAATATCTTATTTACATCATGTCTATGTGTGGCGTTTAGCATTCAGTGAATTCTGACTGTCACCCTGTATCTATTTATATATTTCTTTATTAATATTTTAATATATTATCTTATATTAACCATTTGCACACACGAGCATTATCCGGCTTTGCTCCTCCCGACCGCAGACGCAGGTTTACAAGCCACTTTTTCCTGCGTTTTTCAGTAAATTTCTTGACTTTTGACTTCTTGGCTCCGTGTGGTTTCTCGGTTTGGCCTATTTGAGCATCCATAAACAACGCAAAACACAGGCATTTTGAGTTTCTGCTAGTGATTTCTATGGTGAAAAATCACTTCCTGCCCTCCATCTACATTTCGCGCGTCATCAGAATCACGTGATTGCAAACAACCTATTGCTTGGTGTAAGACATGTTGGAGATTAGCTGATAGGCTGTCAATTCATTCAATTATTAGCTGTTTCCTCTAAAAAGCTGTTTATTCAGTGTAGTGAAGCCCCTCCTCCATTGACATCCATTCAAACAAAACGGGCCTCTGGTCTCCTTTCCCACGTACTGGCAAACCAGAAGCGTTAGCATTAGCCGTTATGCGTTTTAGGCTAAAGGTTGCAGGCTTGCCTTATAGTGGCTTTGTCGCGAAATGTTTCTCGTGAGCATGCGAAAGTCTTGTGTATTTTTTATTTTTGCAAGGTCCCTTTAGGGGCTCCTTATTTTGACTAAATTGACTAAAAAACACAGGAAAAAGTGACTTGTAAACCGGTGTCTGCGGTCAGGAGGAACCGAGTTGGATAATGCTTGTGTGTGCAAATGAGTAATATAAGATTGTGACGAGTAGGGGTGGGGCCAAGAGCCGTGGGAACGGTTTTTACAAAGCTCAACGGTCTGAAAAGCGAGGTGTGCTCTGATTGGCCAGCTATCCAGAGCATTGTGATTGGCCGAATACCTCAAGCGTGTGACGGAAATGTTACGCCCTTACCATATTGTGATGCCCTATCCCTATGCAAAGTGACATTGAGAGTAAAAAAAAAACAGGAAAATCATTAGGAAATATTTGGGGGCGGTGCCATGCAAAATATGATGCCACAGAAAGCCCCGCTCTCCCGTCGAAACTGAATGATTATTAATGATCACTGTTAGATCTTAATCACATGAACATCCAGATATTAAATATAAATGAGTCACATGTGTTTCTTCTGTGAATATTTGACCTTTTCACAGTTTAACTAAATGCGGCTGAAACGCACTCATTCATTCTCACTCATCTAAATCTTTAAATAAAACAAATAAAACACAAATTTGTTTAAATAAAACAAATCTTTTTTTTTTCTCCCCCCTTTAAAGAATGAGTTCTGGACCAAATACTATGGTAAGTGACCTTCAGAAAGTTTGATTATACTATGACTGAATTTAAAGAAATTATAATTTTATAAATGAATTGATAAATAATTACAAACCTTTTCATATTATTTATAATTAATAGCTCACTTTATTTTACCTTTTTTTTCTATTTTGATTGTTTAATTCTTTACTTGTACGTGTGTATTGTATTTTTATCTTTAACTGCTCTTAGTTTACTCATTTTTACATGTATTTTGTCATTCTCTTTTCTGTGTCTCTGGAGCTGCTGTATTATTGTAGTTGTAATAAATATGAATATTTCATTATGTTGTCAGATGGAGATCAGTGCCACTCCAACCCATGTAAACACGGTGGCACATGCAGGGATGGGATCGGTGGTTACACATGCACATGTGCGGAGATGTACAGCGGCACCGACTGTCAAACTGGTGAATGTGATGATTTATACAAGTGAGAGTGATGAACATGTGAAGTGAGATATGCTGTGTTTGGCACATTCAGTGTGTTTGAGAGGCATCATGTGTGTCAAATGCTTCATGATGATGTTTTGCAGATAAATCCCAGTGTCCGTCAGCTGGGCCTTTAGCATGTGAGCACTTCTGCAAACCGATGACTGGTTCATTCCGCTGCTTCTGTGCACGGGGATATACACTTAACAGTGACGGCAGGAGCTGCTCACCTCACGGTACCTGACAATCACTGCACCTGAACTTATGAAAGCTGCTAAATCACTGGAGTTCACACACTCACGGACTGCACTCATTATGGCTATTTAATCACTCACTGCACTCTTCTCTGCATTTCTCCTCTTGTATAATATATCCAGTTGTATAATAAATCTGCCTTTGTATATTACAAATATGGTTGGCTATTTGATGAATTGCTTTTTTTTCCCACTTTTGTAAGCCACCGTTGATAAAATTGTTTGCTAAATGCATAAATGTACATGTAAACATCATCCACACTCTCAGTTCAGAATCCATGTGGGACAACAGAGACGCCCAGCTTCTGTCCTGATGGACACTGCTCATGGGAGGTAAGCACCAACCTGATTACCATGATAACTAGAGCAGGAGTTTCACTGGGATGGTTCTCCAGTTCATGCACATTGATCAACAAACTGAAACACTCCACAGCACACGATCAGCCAGTTAGAAGAGCAGCTGTTGAATATTCAGCTCTGCTGAGCAGTATTTGAGCATCTGATGATGATGATCATGATGGTATATTGTGTGCTGCAGGTGAAGTTTGTGAACACCAGTGGTGATGTCGTCTGTCACGGTGTGGTTCTAGGCCGTAAGTCTGTGCTGACGTCAGCCACGTGCATGTCTGCACTGAAGGATCCGCATGTCACTCTCGGTGAGCATGTGACTGCAGTTTTACACAACAGACTCTAGTCTATATGACCTACAATAGTACTTTATAGTTCAGATTGTTTTTTGTAGTCACAGTCCAGTAGAATTCACACTTGTTAGCATCAGGTGGTATTTCTACACTGCCCAGAGAACATTATATTTGGAATGTTTTTGGTAATTTTGGTATAAAACTGAAATGAGAAACTAGTTCAACTTTTAGAACAAGACAATTGTTTTTCAAATTATTTACTATTATACAATTTTTTATATTTCTTTTAGCTTTAATTCATTTTTGTTTTAGTTTTAGTTTTAGTAATTCTTTAACACAAACTTATTTTATTTCAGTTACAGGCGAAGTTTCAAATTTTCTGTTTTTTTATTTTATTCATTTTGATAGTTTTAGATTTAGTTAACAATAACAATATTGCTTCTGGTTTTGAAAGAAAATATAACAGCATTTTGATTCATACAACTAGCTTCAAGCAAAGTGACTAATTAATTTGTATTAAAGTATTTTAGAGTTTGACTGAAGTGCTATTTTTGTATCATTGATATACTGTTATAGATTGTTAATGTTTGAAATTTTGTTTTTTTTATATTCATATTTATTGTGTTTTTGTCATTTTAATTTAATTTTTTTAAATATGTCTATATAGTTTTTATTAATTTTTATTTATTAGTTGTAATTTGTTATTTTAGTATTTCACTTTAAAAGTGAAAAGTGTTGCCTTGGCAGCTAGCTGAAATCAAATTTGTTTAATGTTGTTTAATAATTTATTTCAGTTAACGTTTATTTTCTTTCAAGTATTGACAATTTTATGGTAACTTTTATGGTTTTAGTTTTAATTAACAATAACCCTGCAACTGAACACAAGACCTTTGACATCAGCGAAAAATGGAAAGTGCTTCTCCTTTTTATTTCACTGTCCTAAATATGCATGATTATTTAAACCTGCTGTCAGTGACCCATCAGAACTGACCTGAGAGCCTTGTTTGTGTTCTGATCAGTTGAGAATCAGTGATCTGCAAACACACCATATGTGCTCAAATACACCATATGTGCTGCAATGTAAGTGGACTCGTGTTCTTGTCTCCAGTGGGACGTCACTCAACCGTGGCGCTGCGTGTCTCCAGCTGGACACCGCATAAGCGGTACGTGTCCGGTGCGGAGGACGACCTGGCCTTCCTGGAGCTGATGGAGCCCTTCCCACAGAACACGTCCGTCGTCCCACTCTGTCTGCCGGAGAGAGACTACAGCGAGAATATTCTGATGAGGGCTGGACGAAAGGGTGTGGTCATGGGCGGAGCCGGACACTCTTACCTCTCATTGGATGATTGTCACGGCTCTCTCAACCTCACGTTCCTAATGACCAATAAGATGTTCTGCATGCAGAACTGGGAGTCTGACGTCTCCATCAGGACCAAACTGATGCCATGTGACTTGAAGTCTGGGAGTCCCGTCGCAACGGTGGAGGGAAAGACGGCGTTCCTGACAGGCATTTCTCTGTCCACTGGAGACTGTAATCATGGACTTGTGTTCACCAAACTGTCCCGATACCTGCACTGGCTGCGACCGCTGCTGCATGCATCTGAGAAAGAACAACAACAACAACTATGATGAAACAACACCAGTAAACAAAAAACACGGGCTGTATGAAGAAACAAATGAGTGAAACTCTTGAACATGCATAATATTTCACCCAAAAAGTATCGAAATTATATTGAGCAAGAAACTCTTCCCCCTAACTTCTGATTACCATAATGCAAAATAAAATATATGAATATACATTTGAAAATATTTACAGCAGCTTCATGTTCAGTGTCACTGTAAGTCAGTTTGATTCCGGAAGAGTGAAACACTCATGCTTTCACAACATTGATCTGTTTGAGTGACACGTCATCTTCTGACTTAACCAATCACCTGTGTTTGGGACTGGGATATCTGACATACTGACCTATGACAAAAACATTTGGAAACATAATCATTTTTGCAGATTACATTGATAGTGCAGAGATTAATCACACCACCTTTAAATGAAGTATTTACACATCATGGTATATTTTAAAGTGATTTAGACAAAAAAATATACAGTATAACTGTGTTGTACTCATGAGAAACACAACTGACAAGCATAATAAATACAAAAGAAAACACTGCACTGTAAAAAAATTGTTTTGAAGTTTTACAAGAAAATACTATTTCAGTTTCTCTACTTAAAAATGTCATATTTAATTCAAATGTTACTCTTTCATTGTCAGTTATGAAAGTTGTTTCAAAGTAAATCCTACTCCAGTTGTTTTTCAATGTAAATGCTTCACAGTCAAAATGAAAATGAAAATGAAAATGTCACAAATAAATAAATAAATAAATAACAGACTTAACCTTCTTTATGCAGAATATGATTTTCTTTTTTTCCTTGATTTTCTTGTTTACCACTTGTATGTTTTATACCAGGGGTCGCGAAACTTTTTTGACCAGAGTTTTTTTTGTTTGTTTTTGTTTTGTTTAATGCATTTTCCAAAAGAGCCACAGCATAAAAATTATATAATATTTAAAACATGTTTTATAATAACATTTCAATAATACAGTGGTTGTTAAACCTGATCCTGGTCCGCCAAGGCAGGCATTTTGACACATTTCTGTCACTGTGTCTATGCTTTGTTTGTTATGAGAGGATTGAACTCAAGGATACGCTCTGATTACTAACATAACCTCAGTTCTGTCAGAACTTACATTGCATGTGAACTCGCTATGGGAGAACTCCTGATTACTCCGAATACTAAAACCAGATTTGTTAATGATTGTGTAGCTGCACGAACAAATGGCATTTCAGCTCGCCAAAACGGGAGGAGCCGACTGCCTATATAAGTCAGAGCTGAATGCTATTTCATCAGAATCTTTCGACTGATAAGTGACAGTGTCGACTCACGTGCAGCTTTATAGCATGGCTGTGTACGCAAAATGCTCGTTCCTATTATCTCAGGGAACCAATGTTAGTAACCAGAGCGTTCCCTTTCGAAACAGTCTCTCATGTTGCGTGAATGTGCAATGGGGAATGAGTCCAACAGCAAGGTGCTACATATATATATATATATAT